TAATATTCATGGTGTTTCTTACTGCAGTGATTTGACACTGCGCGCGCGCATGGATTTGGCAAATGGAATACGTTTATTGAATGTATGTTATATGCCTATAAAAACGTTACAGAATTATAAAATTTGACTTTCAAATTGTCCTTTAAGGATAAATGAAGGGTTTTAAGAAAATTTATTCCGCATTTTTTATTTTCAACTTTATTCGATGGGCTACATTGTGGCAGCTGCTGTACTGCTAATTTTCTCATTATAAACACCAATTACCACTTGTCAACTGTCAGAGCGGTTTTAGCTTGCCGCCGATACCATGTGTAGTGAGCCGCGGCTGACGCTGTCATGATGGATACAGACAGATTTTCACGGATATTCACTGAAAACAGTTATCATCAACATCCAACCCATTCTACTACCTGCTACTACTACCGCTGATTCAACAAGATCCCACAAGAGCCTAAATAGATTTCTCACACCATCGCACACGCACCCTTCACATAGAGGCGCCGTGTATTGACCCAGTGACGTCAGGACAATTGGGGCGGTTCGCGCCATTTGCATGTCTAGGTCATGTGACGTCACAGCCCCCTGTTGAAACACGCCATTATGTAAACATAGTGTGTGTGGTGTATTACTGTATAAGATGGAGACAGAAAGCGATAATTTCAATGATTCTAGTGATTACTCAGATGATGATGATATTTATAGTGATTTACCAGTTGGATATAGGTTTGAGCCTGAATATACACAAGAAGAAATTGAGGAGAATCGTCTGAAAAAGCAACGCGATGAGTCGGCGCAAACTTCTCGAGAATCAGAACAGTCACAACATGGCGGAATGGAAGCTTCGGTACCAGATAGGACTGTAGACAAATACTGGTGTTCTTGTAGTGTTTGTGAATTAATGAGTACGGCACCTGAATGTATATGCTGCCATGAGAATGAGAAGATCAGGGTTATTGTAGACCAGTTCAACGCTAGACCAGATGAGTCATGCGAGTACACTGATCACCGGGCTTATCACGCTCGGTCAGAATCACATATGTATCTGTACATGTACAAACGTCTCTACGCAAGTCATGTACATATACCGTGAATGCATTATCCATACAGGTAATATGTATGTACATGAATATAAGTACATTTAGAGGCTACATGTTTGTTGTATGCTGTAACAATACTTTCACCTAGCATAACGTATACTAGCGTGTTAGCACTGTTACGCTATATAATGGCGTGTTTCAACAAGGGGGGGCTGTGATGTCACATGACCTAGATTAATATTCATGTGTTTCTTACAAATTGAGCGCCGGATTTGAAATGGAATACGTTATTGAATGTATTTTCTATGTATAAAAACGTTACAGAAGTAGTCAAATTTGACTTCAATTGTCCTTTAACATTAACGAAGCAAATTAACTAATTAATTAAGCGATTACAGCACGAGCGACAACCGACACCTCGCTACCAAAATACTTCATTGGTTTACCGGCAGATGTCACCGCCGGCTCTTGAACTGATCGTGTTCAGTGTTACAACGGAGCGATTTCGACATTGTTCATAATTGTTATCGCTGTAACATGGAATCTAAATATGCATTGTTCATAATTGTTATCGCTGTAACATGGAATCTAAATATGCATTGTTCATAATTGTTATCGCTGTAACATGGAATCTAAATATGTATACATACGTATATATGCATATTATACATATATATATACATGTATGTACATTGTTTTCACTGCTCTAACATGGAATTTAGATGGAAAGAAATTACAATTTTAGAACCACCATATATATGAATACATACATATAGGTATACAGGGTAAAAAATACGCGGGAGCGATGAGCGTTCCGCTGTTCAAACCTTCGAAATCGCTCCCGTGAGGCTCAAAATAGCTCCCGTAAAATGTTTGACGAGAGTTAGTTTTCCCACAGACTTGAAAAAGAGCTTCCTTTAAAAAAAAGTAATTTTTCCCCAGATATATTATATATATACTATACAATGAATATGTATAACCTGAGACTGATACATATAGATATATATATAGTGTGTGTGTTTTCTTCATCTTTCGTCATCTTGGTAACGCACATTGTTTTGATTATTCTATTTCAATTATACTGTAATCAGTAACGCATTGTATTTTTGTTTTAATTAAGGTTTGATAGAAACCTTGGTTTGATTGAAAATACATCTCAAAAGCTTGTTAATTAAATTTAAAAAAAATTAATTGAATTTGTATTTTATATATATATATATATATATATATATATATATATATATCAGGAGTAGATTAATAGGGAGGAGTGTGACATCAATAAACAAGGGAAATTCGTCATTTACTAGCCTTATAATACCTACGATTTACTACACGTAACTCATCCAACTTGAGCTCAAATCGGACACAGTACATTCGCCCATCATCGTACGAAATCGTTTCCTCGTAGACACCCGCAATGCCGTAGATACAGCCTAAACGTACGACACGATTCTCCATTCTCTGGCCATCATCCAACCCATTGCGCGCCTATAATTCAAGACAAAAGGCAGCTACCATACGCGCTATTGCTAACTGAGCGAGGCATGTGGCTCGCTGGGATATTAGGCATCAACACTCGGCGAGATAACCTTTGACCCCCGGTACACAGCTACACAGGCCACCTTTGTAGCATAGCGTCATGCCCTTCACGCACACGCACGCCAACCAAATGATTAGCTCTTCGAGTGTTGCGTCGATCTCCAATCTCCCTGGCGAGCCACAACGCCACATTCAGCTATCGGAGAGAGCAACACAGCCAGGTTGCTGCCTTTTGTCTGAATTATAGCGCGGCAATGGGCGTGGATTAATGGCCAGAGAATGGAGAATCGTGTCGTACGTTTTAGGCTGTATCTACGGATTGCGGGTGTCTACGAGGAAACGATTTTCGAGGATGATGGGCGAATGTACTGTGTCCGATTTGAGCTCAAGTTGGATGAGTTACGCATAGTAAATCGTAGGTATTATAAGGCTAGTAAATGACGAATTTCCTGTTTATTGATGTCACACTCCTCCTATTATCTACTCCTGATATATATGTATAACATACACCTACACACACATTCATATATATATAATGTATAGTATGTACATATATGTATAGTATCATACATGTGTCGCTAGTCTAAATTCATGCTATCTTCAGTCAGTGTATTTGCGACTTTTGTTTCACTTCTGCTGGGATCACCTCTCTGAATCTACTTAGCAGTGGATACAACCAAAAGTGTAACACAGTAAACATCGTCACACAATCATATAACATGTTTTGATCGAATCTGCAATTTGTCTCTGGCTGTAATTGTATAACAGTCATGCACTAGTTACTGCCTATGCATACACTACATGTGAAGTGTGACACACACAATGAGTGGGGGGGGGGGGAAGACATGTTGCAGCAGGAGTTAATAATCACAAATGTGACAATAACATGTGGCTTTAACAGCGAGAGATGCAAGTGTTCTTACCCGTCCACGCGTCCGTTAGCGCCGTGTGATTAGAGAGAGAAAGCCCTGCGGAAACTAAGCACATGTTAGATGTACATGTATATATTGTTTGTATTTTATAGTGAGAAATAAAAAAATATCTATTATTATTATTATAATAAATCTAACAGTTAGTAGAATAGGATTAAACTATTGTTAAATTGCAAAATTGAAGCTTTTTCTACAATTTTTTTCTGCAATCTTCAGTGTCGATACATCTATTTGATCGACTTTGTCTCTCTCCGTCTTCGTAAATAGTCCCGTGAACTTTAAAGACTAATCATTACGAGAGTTACGTTATGTCATGAGGTAACCGGCTTACAAATTGTAGGTACGTAGGCATTCCAGCAGCACTACTACTTAGTACTTGGCAGTAACTAACCTTTGGTGTAGACAACGATGTCTTTAGCGAACGAGCAAGTGCAGACAACATGCTTGCAGATTGGAGCGTTTCTTGTGGTCTAAAAAGTAGTTTTGGTATAAATGAATTTTGCCAGATATGTGTATTTCGAATACTTTGTAGAATTGACGAAGTCAGAATTTGTTGGTCTCCATGATACTGTTGCCGGCCGCTGATGTAGCCCTCACAATTAAACAACTGCGTTGTAAACATTTCCTGATTTGATGAAACAATTAATATATTGTTATTATTCCTAAATATATTGTTAATAAAAAGAGTTTGCTATAGAATCACATATAAAATCTACTTCAATTGTTACACTTGCGCATCTAAAAGTCAAACAATAATATTGGTTTAATTTTACGTAAGCGACCCATTGCAGTAAATGGCGATTGTAAATGCCGAATTGGCCTTGTAGTGTTTGACATGCGTATTCCAGCTAAATTTGAGCGGCAGTAGAGCCGCGTGACAGCTTCATTCGCATGATAGGATGAATAACAGGGAGAGTCCTGTTCCGATTCAGCACGTACATACCTTACGGTCTGAGGGAACCGCGCAAACTCTACGATGTCGCAAAAAGTATAATGATAATCATCATCAACATCATCACACTGACGCTCGGCTGAGGCTGAGAGGGTCTATGTCCCCCGGGGGTACTGCCGGAACGTACCCTGGTACTATCTAATATGCGAACCGTACCTCGCCTACTCCACTAACGAGTTCTAGGGAGTCGCCTACGTCTACTCCCTAAGCCGAAACCGAACCCTAACCCTAAATCCTAACCCTAACCATATCAAATAGTGACCAGGGTACGTTACGGTATACCGGACCGTACCCAGGGTACGTTCCGGCAGTACCCTGGGGACATAGACCCTATGAGCCTCGCTGAGAGGGTCTATGTTCCCCAGGGTACTGCGGAACGTACTTGGGTACGGTCCGGTATACCGGAACGTACCTGGTACTAACTACTATCTAATCGCTGGCAGCAAGAACAACCCGCACGTACAGCACACACGCGCCCATTGACTAATTATAATAATTTGTTCTTACTGTTCGTACTTGTTCTTGCTGCCAGTGTATCTAATTATGCCGGACCGTACTAATATGCCGGACCGTACCTCGCCTACTCCACTAACGCCTACTCCCTAACCCTAACCCTATAAGGCCTAACCCTAACCATATCAGATACTCGGATAGTTACCAGGGTACGTTCCGGCAGTACCTTGGGGGACATGGATTTTAAAGGGCCTACCCTCACAGGGTTCTCCCCAGGGAGAATTCAAACAGGGGGAGGGAAATGGGAGGGGAGGGGGGGGAACTAGGGGGCATGTTTTTTTACCGTACCCACTAATTAATGCGTAAAATCGCCACCACACCATAGACGGTATTTGGGTTCTTGATATATAAGAATAGCCGAGTCGGTGTAGTAAGTTAGTGTTGGGTGTGGGACAGGTTGACTGTTTGTACTTGTGTATTGTCTGCAGTGCATGCGTGGTACTGTTAAAATACACGCTCGGGGTGTCCTGGTACTTCTTGACGATCGATTCCCGCGCTGGCAAAATTTTTATTGTGGTGGAATTTAATCGGGGTGGAGGTAATTTAAACGGGGCGCAACGATTGAAACAGGGGGGAGTTTTCCCAAACGGGGCGCGCGCGCCCCGTTTGAGCAACGTAGGGAGAACCCTGCCTCACATTTACGAAAATGACATAGGTCTCAATCTGGACATCATCTCTATCCTAGAACCGGGGCCGGCCACCCTATGAGCCAGACTGACACACAACATTAATCTCACCATGATCGGTTCACGCTAACTCTAGCCTATAATACACGAAGCCCTTTGCTACGCCGACGCGCTCTCTCCACCTTTCGGCTTTTCTACCTGCTCATCATACTACAGCAGACAGATCCACTGCTGCTACACCCTTTCAGGGTTCTCCCAGGATGAAATTCAAACAGGGGGAGGGGAGGGGGAGGGGGGAAACTAGGAGGTCCGGGGGGCGTGTATTTTTACCGTACCACTAATTAATGCGTAAAATCGCCACCACACAATAGACGGTAATTTGGGTTCTTGTATATATAAGCTAGCCGAGTCGTGTACAGTTAGTGTTGGTTCGGGACAGGTTAACTGTTTGTACTTGTGTGTGTCTGCAGTGCATGCGTGGTACGGTAAAAAATACACGCGTCGGGTGTCCTGTCGAATGTGGAGTTCTTGACGCATCGATTCCCCGGCGCTGGCAAACTTTTATTGTGGTGGAATTTAATCGGGGTGGAGTGTAATTTAAACGGGCACAACGATTGAAACAGGGGGGAGTTTTCCCAAACGGGCCGCGCCCGTTTGCGCAACGTAGGGAGAACCCTGCCTTTATTAGAATGCGTACAATAATAGTTGAAATATTGCATGAGTACAATAATTAATTTGTTCTTAACCAGAATTGTTATTTACTTATGTTTGTCGGAATAATAGCCCATGAGGGCTAACGTTTATTTCTTGTGATATCTGACATTAAATAAAGATTCTTGTATCTTGTAATATAACCTGGGCCAGGGCAGGAATTACCCTACTCTGATGGGTTACATTATGTATGATGTATCTTACCTCCGTGTGGGTTCGACTAGCTTAATACTCGATGACATTGGTCTGTAGATGACGAAGAACCTAAACTCTGTGTAATTTATTATTAATTTTATTATTAGCTCATCTGACATAGTCAGATGCAGCTTGTAGAATCGTTTGATCGCTCCGTTCCGTCCGTCCGTCCGTCCGTCCGTCCGTCCGTGGCGTCCGTCAACAGTTGGGCAAAAATCTTAACCGCTCGACGTACGGTCACGATATTCGGCAGGCATTGGGGGGATCGTCAAAACGCAGTTGGGATGTCGAAGCTGGGGTCAAAGGTCAAGAGGTGTAAAAGAAGGGGAACATTCACTCCTTAACTTAAGGTATAGGGAGGAAATGCAGAATTGCGGCACAAATCTAAATGCTCGACCTAGGCTCGTGATAGTTGTTGTATAGCATCATGGTAGGAAAAGGCATCACTGTGCCGAAATTGGAGGTCACAGGTCAAAGGTCAATGGGCAGCAGGCAGATTTTAGACATTTTTCTGAGGACATGATCTGACGAGCGATTGAAAACTTTTTTGTTTCAGCGTGACCTAGCATTTTTATGGCATTATTGAAAGGACCATGAATCTACTTTTTGCTGACATGCCGAAGAGTAAGTGTCAGATAACCTTTTGACCCTCAGAGGAGGGTTAAACTTGGATTTGTTGACTGTCTGTTAGAAAGAATTTGACTGCCGGTTTGCTAGAGAATCTATACATGCCTGATGTATGAGGCTTACAATGTCACAGTGAAATTTCAAAAGCTAAATTTGGGTTAAAGAAGGTGTATGTTCCTTAAATCATATAATTTCTATGGCATCTGTACTGTCAGTATGTTACATGTAACGTATGCCACTGCCAGTGGCTGCTGGCAGGGACTGTGGTGGTGCAGTTTTTGCCTGCGTTAATTGGTTACAGGTGGCAGCTCTCTATTGCAATTTGCAGCCTGTAGGCTTGCGTAGGTAAATGGATGAGTGCTTACCTATTCTGTCTTGCAAATAGTTGTTGCTACTACGAACGATGAGAGCTTCCATCTTTAATCTGAAGACACTTAAACGTACGCGCCATCTCGTGGCAACTTTCATAACGATCCCAACGAACATTCCTTTGAGAAGGTTCCTGATACCATCCCTGTGCATTCCACTGTTTCGGCATGTATGTGAACACATTTGGGACTAACAGGGTTTACTAGAATCCCACCACTCCACCACAGAGTCACCGCAGTAGACGTTAGATGAGCGCTGTCGCTCCGCGGCACTTGTTTCATTTATTTATTAATTTAAAGATGGTATACATTTGTAAAAAATATATATACCAACATAAGCTTGCAAGCTCCTTACCCACAGTGCAATAATAGTAATAAAACAGGGCCCAAGGATATAAGAGCTGTCCACATTTGCACATTTGCACATGTCACACATTGCGAAAATGAATTGGGGGCAGCTCTTGTATCCTTGAACCAAAAACAGTTCTTAATTACTTGCTTACTTACTTAATCGTGTACTGTCGTAACAACAAGCGCATAACGTTGATGTGTTTGCGTTTTCTGTGCAGGCAATAGGGATCTCATGCGGAGACTAAAGTTGGTGAAACGTCTGCCGGTTCACAACGGATGCGTGAGTATCATGACTGCAGGGGTAGAAATGAACTTTTGCCCTACGGACTCCCTACCCTCAAAAAGAGGGAGTCTGCAGTCTCAGGTTCAAAAGTAAAGATATTAACAATAACGCATGGGCTTATTTTTTAAGATTTATGCGGTTGCACGTCTGCCAAATTTTCTCTGGACATTATAGTTGAAAAAATACGGTAATTCCGCGAGGCCGTGCTCCGGAACGAACTAGTTAGTATGGCAGAATTTTCAGGGAGTCACACGGATTCTTGCATATAATATTATGTCAAATCAGGGATTCCGACAGTAAATCGGGGAGTGTTTGACTGGAAGTAATTTCGCACTCTGTACGCGTGTGCCGGATGGGATCAAGGATAGTTTGTTAACCCTCGTAGGTGCCTAGGTGGCACATAAGGCAGTGCCAAGAGATCTCTAACGTTGTCGGTTCGCTGCTACTGGCCTCAGCGTGTCCCATGACAGGTCACACATCCGCATCTCCTTCTCGATGGTCCTTCTCCAGGTCTCCTTGGGTCTTCCTCTTCTTCTCCTCCCTTCCTCACTTCAAGGACGGTGTGGGACCCCGCAAATGTGTTTTTCGCATATGTGCTAAACTAATCTGGGGTGCTAACCCAGTCTTGGGCGGTCTGACGTAGTGTTGTCAATCGGTTGTAATTTCGTAATCGATCATCCGTTGGACCCAAGTAACTGATGATCGGTTACAATTGGTTACTTGGGGTTTTGAATGCCTGCGTGTGCGTAACGTCGTGTGCATGTACGTGTGTGCATGTATGTGCTTGTTTAGCCCTGTTTACTGTTTGTTTTGCACTGATTACTACTGTGTGTATAATACATGTATGGTAATAAAGGATAACTTGTATAGTTGCGATGATATCTCTGATTCTCATCACTTTTCCATGTTTTTTTGTTCAAGTTTTACATTTATTTCGAATTATTTTATTTTTTTTATTTTTTTTCGATGAAATCGATTATGGATTTTGTTAACCAAGCGCTTGCTTTGAGCAACTGTTCAACCGATGATCGAGTATAATCGATGATCGTGACATCTGACGTGTATGCGGTTGTCAGCCGGAAAACGAACCGAATCATCAATCGCAAAAATGATCAAACGGGGGGGGGGGGGCCCGATATCCAAATCCCAATGTGTCGGGGAAAAAGAAGCTGCCGGTGTGTAATGTCTAAGGCAGGTTTGTCACGTGATTTATCTTGCTGCTCCCACGTCCGCTTTTCATATAAACAGGTGAATACGATCACGTGGAATGACACGGGTGAGATCATCCTGTCTGGATCCGACGATCACAGGCTTGTCATCACGCATGGCTACAGTCACAAGGTACGCGCGCACGCGGACACGCACGCAAAGCAAACACAGCCAGGTTGCTGCCTTTTGTCTGAATTATAGGCGCGCAATGGGCGTTGGATTAATGGCCAGAGAATGGAGAATCGTGTCGTACGTTTTAGGCTGTATCTACGGATTGCGGGTGTCTACGAGGAAACGATTTCGTACAATGATGGGCGAATGTACTGTGTCCGATTTGAGCTCAAGTTGGATGAGTTACGCGTAGTAAATCGTAGGTATTATAAGGCTAGTAAATGACGAATTTCCCTTGTTTATTGATGTCACACTCCTCCCTATTATATACTCCTGATATATATGTATAACATACACCTACACACATTCATATATATAAATATGTATATATGTACATATATGTATATATCATACATGTGTCGCTAGTCTAAATTCATGCTATCTTCAGTCAGTGTATTTGCGACTTTGTTTCACTTCTGCTGGGATCACCTCTCTGAATCTACTTAGCAGTGGATACAACCAAAAGTGTAACACCAGTAAACATCGTCACACAATCATATAACATGTTTGATCGAATCTGCAATTTGTCTCTGGCTGTAATTGTATAACCAGTCATGCACTAGTTACTGCCTATGCATACACTACATGTGAAGTGTGACACACACAATGAGTGGGGGGAGGGGGGAAGACATGTTGCAGCAGGAGTTAATAATCACAAATGTGACAATAACATGTGGCTTTAACAGCGAGAGATGCAAGTGTTCTTACCCGGTCCACGCGTCCGTTAGCGCCGGTGGATAGAGAGAGAAAGCCCTGCGGAAACTAGCACATGTTAGATGTACATGTATATATTGTTGTATTTTATAGTGAGAAATAAAAAATATCTATTATTATTATTATAATAAATCTAACAGTTAGTAGAATAGGATTAAACTATTGTTAATTGCAAAATTGAAGCTTTTTCTACAATTTTTTTCTGCAATCTGCAGTGTCGATACATCTATTTGATCGACTTTGTCTCTCTCCGTCTTCGTAATAGTCCCGTGAACTTTAAAGACTAATCATTACGAGGTTACGTTATGTCATGAGGTAACCGGCTTACAAATTGTAGGTACCGTAGGCATTCCAGCAGCACTACTACTTAGTACTTGGCAGTAACTAACCTTTGGGTGTAGACAACGATGTCTTAGCGAACGAGCAAGTGCAGACAACATGCTTGCAGATTGGAGCGTTTCTTGTGGTCTAAAAGTAGGTTTGGTATAAATGAATTTTGCAGATATGTGTATTTCGAATACTTTGTAGAATTGACGAAGGTCAGAATTTGTTGGTCTCCATGATACTGTTGCCGGGCCGCTGATGTAGCCTCACAATTAACAACTGCGTTGTAAACATTTCCTGATTTGATGAAACAATTAATATATTGTTATTATTCTAAATATATTGTTAATATAAAAGAGTTTGCTATAGATACCATATAAAATCTACTTCAATTGTTACACTTGCGCATCTAAAAGTCAAACAATAATATTGTAATTTTGACGTAAGCGACGCATTGCAGTAAATGGCGATTGTAATGCCGAATTGGCCTTGGTAGTGTTGACATGCGTATTCCAGCTAAATTTGACGGCAGTAGAGCCCCGTGACAGCTTCATTCGCATGATAGGATGAATAACAGGGAGAGTCTGTTCCGATTCAGCACGTACATACCTTACGGTCTGAGGGAACCGCGCAAACTCTACGATGTCGCAAAAAGTATAATGATAATCATCATCAACATCATCACACTGACGCTCGCTGAGGCTGAGAGGGTCTATGTCCCCCGGGGTACTGCCGGAACGTACCCTGGTACTATCTAATATGCCGAACCGTACCTCGCCTACTCCACTAACGAGTCTAGGGAGTCGCCTACGTCTACTCCCTAAGCCGAAACCGAACCCTAACCCTAATCCTAACCCTAACCATATCAAATAGTGACCAGGGTACGTTACGGTATACCGGACCGTACCCAGGGTACGTTCCGGCAGTACCCTGGGGGACATAGACCCTATGAGCCTCGCTGAGAGGGTCTATGTCCCCCAGGGTACTGCCGGAACGTACCTTGGGTACGGTCCGGTATACCGGAACGTACCCTGGTACTAACTACTATCTAATCGCTGGCAGCAAGAACAACCCCGCACGTACAGCACACACGCGCCCATTGACTATTATAACATTTGTTCTTACTGTTCGTACTTGTTCTTGCTGCCAGTGTATCTAATATGCCGGACCGTACTAATATGCCGGACTCGGACCGTACTCGCCTACTCCACTAACGCCTACGCCTTCAACCCTAACGCCTATATAGGCCTACACCCTAAGCATATCAGATACTCGATAGTTACCCTAGGGTCGTTCCGCGCCAGTACTTGGGGACATGGATTTTAAAGGCCTACCCTGCACAGGGTTCTCGCCAGGATGAAATCTCAACAGCACGCCGGTGGGAGGGTGCAGAGAGTCTCTGTCTGGGGAGGGGGATAGGGCGTGCGGGGGCCAACTAGGGGGGCATGTTTTTTTACCCTCGTACCACTAAGTTAATGCGTAAAATCGCGCATACTTGCCAAGCGAACCGCATAGACGCGTATTTGGGGTTCTTGCGTATATATAAGGATAGCGAGTCGTGTACAGTTAGTGTTGGGTGTGGGAGCAGGGTTGACTGTTTGTACTTAGTGTATTGTCGCTGCAGTGATGGCGTGGTATACTGTTTAAAATACACGCTCTGGTGTCCTGGTACTGTCTTGAGCGAATCGAATCTCCCCGCGCTGGCAAAATTTTTATTGTGGTGGAAATTTAATACGGGGTGGAGGTAATTTAAACGGGGCGCAACGATTTCAGAAACAGGGGGAGTTTTCGCGCAAACGGGGCGCCCGGCGCGCCCCGTTATGAGCAACGTAGGAGAACCCTCGCTACACATTTACGAAAAATGGTCAATAGGTCTCAATCTGGACATATCTCTATCCTAGAACCGGGCTCGGCCCCCTATGAGCCAGACTGACACACAAACATTAATCACACCATGAATCGGTTCCGCTAACTCTAGCGCTATAATACACGAAGCCGCTTTGCTAACGGCCCGACTCGGCGCGTCCCTCTTGCTACCTTCTCTCGGCCCTCTCTTCTTCACTCTGCTCTATTCATACCTATCGAGCAGACAGATCGCACTGGCTGCTTTACAGCCCTCATTCAGGTTCCGTCTACCCAGGATGAAATTCCCTCACAATCAGGTGGGAAGGGGAGGGGAGGGCGAATCTAGGAGGGTTTCCGTGGTGGGGCGTGTATTAAAATAATCTACCGTACGGCACTAATTAATCGTAAAATCGCCACACACCATAGACGGTATTTGGGGTTCATCTTGTATATATAAGGCTCGCGGCGAGTCGGTGTACAGTTAGTGTTGGGTTCGGCCCCCGAGCAGGTTAACTGTTTTGTCTTGTGTGTTGTCTGACAGTGGCATGCGTGGTACGCGTAAAGAATACACGCGTACGGTGTCGCATGTCGAATGGGGAGTTCCTTGACGATGGCGATTCCCGTGTGCGCCTTGCCTCCTCTGCAAATCTTTATTTCCGTGTGTGGAATTTAATCCGTGGCGGTGGAGGTCTAAAATCAATTATCATCGGGGCACCGCATCACGATTGGAAACCAGGGGGGAGTTTTCCGCGCAAACGGGGCGCGCGATCCGCGTTTCTGCGCACAGCGTATGGGAGAACCCTGCCTTTATTAGAAATTCGGTACAATAATAGTCTGAAATATTGCATGAGTACAATAATTAAGTTCTGTTCTTAACCAGTAATGTTATTTACTTATGTTTGTCGGAATAATAGGCCCATGCAGGGGCTAACGTTTATTTCTCTTGTGATATCTGATCATTAAATAAAAAGAATTCTTGTATCTGTACATATAACCCTGGCGCCGGATAGCAGGGCAGGAATTACCTAAGCTGCTTGATGGGCTTTTTTACATTATGTATGATGTCATCTTAACCTCCGTGGTAGGGCTTTCGATCTAGGCTCTTAATACTCGATGACTGGTGCTTGTAGATGACGAGAACTAAACTCTGCCTCGTATCTTTATTATTAATTTTATTATTAGCTCATCTGACTATAGTCCAGATGGCAGCTTGTAGAATCGTTTGATCGTCCGTCTCCTCCACCCGTCCGTCCGTCCTCTCCCGTCCTCACCGTCCATCTCCCGTACCCGTCCTGTCCTCCTGTCGCGCTCACCCGGTCACGTTGGGACACAAACTTAAGCCGCTCGACGTACGTCAACGATATCGGAACCACATTGGGGGGTATGCGTCAAAACGAGTTGGGGATGGTGCGAAGCTGGGTCAAAGTCCTCAAGAGGTCTCCTATAAAGAAGGGGCCATTCACACTCCT